AAGTACCAAGTAATAAGTCCTGGCTTAGGCCCCAAGTATATACTGTAGTTCATACAGAACAGTTGCTTTAGTTTATCTGCTTTGTATTCTTCCCCTGGCTAATAAGTCACAGAGGATATCTCCCCAGAGGAGCACCAGTGACAAGAAATTTTCATGTGAGACTTTTCAGTTGTCTTAGGCACTTCTAAGAGTAATTTTTACGAGGTATCTCCTAGGAGTTCTTTTGAGGACAATATTGATTAGAAACAAAAAGTTATTTCTTTTTGTTTTGTTTAGTTTTGAGACAGGGTCTCACTCTACAGCACAAGCTGGCTTCCATATTTCTGTATAACCCAGGTTGGTCTTGAACTCACATTAGCCCTGCCTCAGTCTCCCACATGCTAGGATTACAGGTTTCTGCCACTTCACTGAAAGTCCTTAACTGGGTTTCTTCTTCTGCTAGAGAAGCCTGGTTTCCTTCTGTTTCTTTAATTTAAATGAATAGTTGAAATTACCACTTCCAGATCCACAGTCAAGAACAACAGCCAGAGGGAATCAGAGTCCTCTGGGCCTCTGTACCACTCTGACAGGAGGGAGGCAGTACGACAGGCAGCTCTGTTCCCCAGGCTGAGGGAATTTACAGGACCGAGTAGATTTCAGATGAGCGCTTGTCTTTCAGTGTTTCAGGATCTTACTTATATTCTGCCAATATATATGGAAAGGGACTTCTTTTTTTAAAAAAACCTGTATGTATGTTAAAATCACTGTGTTATCATACCTGGATTCCAATTTCAGCTTCATGATTTACTAATCACAAAATACTAAAAGCATTAATATAAATAAGTAGAAATATCTTTCATTTGGAAAGTGTTTTTGAAAGTATGTGTTGTTGTATAAAGTGTTATTCAATTTCATCACATTCTTCCTGGAACTCGGTTTCTTTATTTGCCAGGCAGTGATAACCAACTCCTGCTCTGCCTACTGCAGACAGACCCTCTGACAAAATGGCAGTAACTGTATTGGAGTCACAAAGCATTGTGTGGTGTGTAAAAGCCACTCATGTGAAGAGTCAGTTTGACCACGTGTATAAATATTAAGAATCAGGGAAGAGAAGAAAGATGAAACGGACAATAGGTGTGTTGTGTGTACTGGATGGAGCATCATATCAGGACCTTCTAAATAGCTTTATGCTTGCATGCTTTCTGAGTCACAAACTGACAACACTAACTGATAACCATAGGCCTGTGATTAAATCAGGAAGCCAGCTAAAGATGTGTTTCACAGATTTATTTCTAAGAAAGTTGAGCTACCTTTGGATGCTTCCAAGTTGTATTCCACACTTCCGGACTGTCCGTGTAAGGTCACAGAGGACAGGCGTCTACAGGAAGCTTTACTTTTCTCTTGGAAAAATATTGCTGGGGAATGACCACAACAATCTTCTGTGACACTGTCCCCTTCCATGTGCCGCCTATGACCGCATTTGGACCTGGTTTGGGACATGCCTGCTCTAAAGCTGCCTGTTTCACTCTTCTGTTTACCTTCACGAAAGACTTAAAAAAATATTTGAGCTGCTGGGGGGAGGCAGAGGAACTGCTGCAAAATAAACAAAAACCCCAGGCTGAAGGAAATTGACAGTCAGAGCCTGAGGCTGAGAAGCAAGCAGCAGCCTGCAACCATCTCCATAGCAACAGGAAACAGGAACCTGTTTAACAAGTCAAATGTCTGTTTCACTACCTGTTGGCCTAGGTAGAGACCTGCAGACCTGATGATGAACTTTTGACAACTCTTCCGCCTCCCCGACCACGGTTGAAAGCTCTTCTCTGATTGGTGTCATTTTTTCACCTTCTTTGCATACTCACATTCAACCAATCAGGGTCAGTCCCCTGTAAAGAGGCACTTTGGGGTTTTCAAGAATAGAATCATCTCATTTGCAGGACAGGAAGGGAAGGAAGACTGCAGAGCCCTGCTACTAGCTCAGCCTGGGGCACTGTCCCTGACACTCCTGCTCTCTTCAAAGAAGCAGAAGACCTCAGGGTCCACCTCCCAGCTGACTTGCCCATTGCTCACCCAAGAAGGAAGACTGCCTTCCAGATTCACTGGAGGCTCACTGCACCTGTGTCTTTCTCCCTCAATCAGGGAGCCTCCTGAGGCTCCCACTGCTCAAACTTATGGGCAGGGGAGCCTGTTCCTATGCTCCAATTGGTGACCTGCTTTCTGCAGACTTGCTTGGCAAAGGACTTCTTTCAGTTGGCACCCTGAAGCCCTCCAAAAGTTTTCAAGCTGTATACTTGCTGACAAGCTCTAGGCTGGCACCCAAAGCCTGCTGAGAGTACGTAGCTGTCACACCCATAAACTCTCTCATTTGGCATCCTGCTGCTGCTGCTGCTGGTGGTGGTCTCAGAATTTTTGCTTTCCCATTTAAATTGATACCTAAGTTCCCCCTTGCTTCTCCTTCACCCTCTGCCCACTATATTCTTAGAGGGAGGGTGGAACAAGAACTCAGCAGGAGACCAACTATCGGCTTCCTGTGTGTGTGTGTGTGTGTGTGTGTGTGTGTGTGTGTGTGTGGAGGGGGGTATATGTATGAATTTATGTTCAAGTTTATAGAAGCCAGAGGTTAACATCTGGTGTCTTCTTCAATCTCTCTGCATCTTAGTTTTGAGACAGGGTCTCTCACTGAACCCAGAGGTCACTAATTGGATAGGCTGCGTGGCCAGTGAGTTCTAAGGATCTCCCTGTCTGCATACCCCTTGCCTCAGGACTAGGGTTACAGATATATGCTTTTTATGAGGGTGCTGCAGATCCAATCTCAGGTCCTCATGCTTCTGCACAGGCACTTTACCAACTGAGCCATCTCCCCAGACTCCTGCAAAACATTGTTCCTAGTGTGACACGTACACTCTATATACATATACCACTAAATCAGTCTGGGAGCATTTGTCTTTCAGTTCGTAATAGTTTTATCTCTGTGTGGAAACAAAAGCTTTTCAATCACAATCCCCTCTCTCAACACCTAGCAACATTTGCAGATGAAACCTCTCTCATCAGAACTGAAAACTACCAAACTGGTTAAGAATCAAAGCAGAATTTTTTGGTTTTTTGTTTGTTTCAGAGTCTCATGTAGCTCAGGCTGGCCTGGAACTTACTATTCAGCTCAGATAGACCTGAAACTCACAACCCTCTTGCTTCAGCCCTCCAAGTACAGGGGATTACAGGGATTATAAATGTGTATCATCGTGCTTGGCAGAGTCAAAGTTTTTCAAGACATATTGACAAAGTCAAAAATGCATTTACCTGGGCAATTATATCTACAATTTCTGAATAGCTGTGGCATCTTCTCACACAGGATCGAGCTAAGAAGTCTTCCACCAGCCGCGTCCCAATACCATATCCCCTGTGGATGAAGGAAAAGCATGATTTGCTCAGTAGATAACACACTAAACCAAATGTGACAGGTCAAATTGTTTCAGGCAGTGGTTTTCGTGTGTATTCTGCAGACCACTGAAGCAGAGTGCAGCACATCCAGAAAATACTAACTGATCTCTGCAAGCAGCGATGTCTGACGAGTTGAGACTGCCCCAAACGGGACTCTGTAAATTACACTTAAAGAAGAATGGTGCCTGCAGCCTAGCAGTTCCAATAATTGGCTGCTGGCATAAACAGAGTAAAGCCTTGCTAACTTTGCTGCTGCAGGTGTGTTACCTGGGTGCTCAGTCTTCTCTTAGCACAGTTATCATGGCAGGGAGCTGACATTTACAAAATGAGCTGGGGAAGGACGAAAGAGAAGGGAACAGAAAAATATTCTTTGGTTGCCAGTAAAGGTTTCAGCAGTTATGATTCTTTCTTTAGTTTATAGTGTGTGTGTGTGTGTGTGTGTGTGTGTGTGTGTGTGTGTGTGTGTCTGTGTGTCTGTGTGTGTGTGTCTGTGTGCAGGAGTGGGCAGAAAACTCATTTTTCATACCATGGAGACTGAAATGGTGGTTTAGGCGAAGGTGAATCCATCACCTAACTTCACCCAAGCAGGCAGCTCTAGCAGTAGCCGAACTGCATTCTGAAAGCCTTTATTGAGACAGCCTACCATAAGTAAGTGGCAAAAATGGCCCAGCAGCCTCCTTAGACAAAGCACCTTGAGAAACCAAGTTTCTAAGGATACAAATAAATGTCAGAGTCTCTGCCTTATAAGAGCTTAAAACCCAGGTGAGGACATTCTAGGTACCCACGGGATTTTACTTTTACTAAACCACTTCTCCAAAAAATTGGCCTTTACTGTCACAGTCATATATACATAGACAAGTGAAGTAATTTAGATTGAGCAACAGAGACTCTAAGAAAGTGAAGGTGTTGGAGGTTTTGGGGCAATAATTGTTCCTCAGGGCCTAAAAAGAAGGGAGAGCTATGGTAGCTTGGCAGTTATGGTGAAACAGATTTGATGTCAGAGTACTTATTAATGCATTAAGTCTACTGAGATGCTCTGCTTATTAAGAAAGGACATCTACTTTAAAAGTTTTTAAATTTCCTAGTACTTCCTAATTATCATTGTGTGTAGCTATTGGCTCAGCCACTGGGAACAGGGATGGGAAGCCAGAATGTTGTGAGCAATGCGCATACTGTATATATACAGTAATATATATATGTGTGTGTGTGTGTGTGTCTTCCATAAAAGGGCATGTTTCTACAAAGTAGATATTTACATATCAAATTAAAATTAAAATGTAAGATACTTTCAGAAGCTATTAAAGAAATTTAAAAATTCAAATATGAAATATTTTCTTAAGTAAGGCCTTCCTACAGCCTCTCAAAATTTATTATTTGACTAATATTAATTTAATAATTTAAACTATGCATTCAATTAGCTCATCAAATTTATTTTTAATCAAATAAGGGATCTTCTTCATTTTGTACAACTATTCTACAAAATGATACATATTATTATAAGTCAAATAAAATGGAGTAACTTCTGGAAATATTACATCAGATATAGGCACCCTAAGTGTAAAAGGATTTTTATCAGCTCTCACAGTTACAGGTAGAAAGCCCAGCTGAAGAAGTACTGAAGAGGCCACAGGTGGACAGTCAGAACATGTCCTTCTTTGAAAATACTCCTATCAACAAATGTAACAAAATGAAACTGTGTGTACTACAACCAAAATGATTTTCAAAGCAGAAGAGTATAAGCACAAGAAAATAAAAGAAGAAAACCAAGGAGTTAGAACAATCAAATTTCCCTTTGTGTTGACTTTTCTGTGTTTATAGAAAAATACAATTGCCCACTTTAAAATTTTTTCTTTTGATTTTTGTTTATGTGTATGAGTGTTTTGCCTGCATTCATGTAAGTGCACCTTTGTCATACAATGCCTATAGAGGCCAGAAAGGGCATTGATACCTGGAACTGGAGTTACAGAGAGTGATTAGCTGCCATGTAGGTGCTGCGAACTGAACTCTGGTACTCTGGAAGAGCAGCCAGTGCTCTTTACCAATAAGACATCTCTCCAGTCCAACAATGACCCCCTTTTAAAGTGGGCTAAATTTCCCCTTCCTCCTATGTAAGCAAATCTTTCAGCTAGTACATATTTTCCAGTCATTGCTCTGCTACAGTCCTTTTCAGGGTTCATCATTAAGAGCTTAAAAATGACTGGAGGTGGAACAGTTTACAGTGAGAGGAAGCAGGGAGATGGGGGAAAGGAAGGGTGTGGTGGATGGTCAACAAAACTAATGATAGGTGAAAAATTCCTAAGGACATCTGATACTTGATAAGATAACCAAAACCAAAATTAAGGGGCTGGAGAGACGGTTCAGCAGTTAAGAGCACTACTGCTCTTCCAGTGGACCTGAGTTTGAGTCTCAGCACCCACATGATGATCCACACGATGATAAACAACCATCTGGAACCCCAATTCCAGGCGACCCGATGCCCTCTTCTGGCCTCCATGGTCTTTGCATGACATGACATGGATGCATTTACATACGTGCAGACAAAACACTCATACACATAATAAGTAAGTAAGTAAATAAATAAATAAATAATAAAATTAGGGGATGGGGAAATGACTTAGCCAATAAAGAGCCTGCTATCCAAGTATGAGGATCTGAATTCAGATGCCCAGCACCTATGTAAAAGCCAGGCACTGTGGCATATGTCTGCAGCCCTATCACTGGGGAGTTGGGAGAGAAGGCAGGCAGATTCCTGAATCTTGATGGCCAGTCAGTCTAGCCAATCAGAGAGACTCGGTTTCAACAAAATTTAAGTGAAGGGCTGGCATAATGATTCAGCAGGTAGAGAGGTGCTGTGTAGATGACCTGTGCTCGTTCCACCCCCAGATCCCACTAGGTAGCAGGACTGAATTGACTCTTGAGGTTTGTCCTCTTACGTCCACACACATACTAAGGAACACACCAAATGAATAAGGTAGAGAGTGGTTGAAGAAGACACCGGATGTTGACCTTTTGCCTCCACATGTAGGTGAACATACATGAATACACACATAACATACACTAAACACACACACAAATAAAAAGTAGTTTTAAAATATAAATAAAATTTAAAAGAATTTGAATAGATGTACCCTGTGTGGGTGGATAAAGTTGCTCCCAGAAGCCATGGGTTATTAAAGAAAACCTCAATGCTTAGGTGAGCTACCTTGTAGGGAAGTTGTTGGTACAGGAGCCCCTGGAGGTCCCTAAAACTGTACAAGCAATTGTTACAAGGATTGCTAAAAGCAATTCGACCGAAACTAGATTGTAAGACCCTATTGCTGAAGACACCACATATCATGGTTGCAGGACATAAAGAAATCAAACTGGAATTGCCCTAGAAGGTTCTTCCCTATTGACAACCCTCATAGTACCAAAGGTCCTATGCAGACTGCTGGGGAAGAATTCTTATTAACAGTCTTGCTCAGATATAGGCCCTGTGTGCAACGATACTTACCAGCCAGATGAGCACACTGGTGATATAGTGGCAAGTCTGTTGGGGGTAACCAACCACTTTCTAACTGGGCTTGATGCCCTCTCCACATGAGGGAACTCTGTGTGGTACTGTAAACCTGGTCAGAAGCCCATGGCTAGAGAGGTTCTTAGGCTGTAGTGAGAAAGTTGCTGCTGTTTTACTAAATAGACATGATGTACACCTCAAACTTCTTTCTCAATAACTATGTTTATGCCCGTAGAATAGTGTATTGTCAGCTTTTGTCAGAGAAACTTCTTTCTGCAGCGCTTAACAGTGACTACAGAGATTCATTCAAAATACCGAGAACAAATGATGACTGAATGCCCAGGCAAAAGTGAAACATCTACAAGCACCCCTTACAAGGTTCAGTGAACATTGAAGAAGGGGCAGGGAGAATGTAAGAGCCAGAGAAGGGGGTAGGAGGGATGGAACACTGACTTCTGGGCATGACATGGCTGCTGCCCTCTTGCACTCACAGTAGCTGTGATTCACCTGCACAAGGTCTATACAAGATTGGGCCCATCAATATCCTGTCATGAAAGGGGGAGGGATTCACTGAGTATCACTCCTCTCTCAGGATTTACATGCAGTTAATTGTTCATGGAGGATAGAGAGACATTTTGTTCAGTGTTATAGCCATTGGCAAGTGGCCCATGCTCCTGCAGGAAACTCTAATGAAACTCATTAGGTTAAAAAAATGCATGAAATTAGAAGAGACAAGGGATTAGTGTACTCTGTGTGGGCGGATAAAGCTGCTGAAAGGGCAAGAGAAGATAGTGTATGTGTATGTGTGTGTGTGTGTGTGTGTGTGTGTGTATGATTAAAATACATTATGTGGAGGGATGGAAATATCATAATGATGTGTAATTATGTGTAATAAATGTTAATAAAAACATTTAAAAAGGAAAAAAAGATGTTAAAATAGTGATGGATACTTCATTGAATTAAAATTTGATGATCATAAATTATTTTGAGGAAATTTTAAGGTTGAATTTGAGCAGGAGGAATCTCCATTATAAAGACAAGGAGAATGGGCTTTAATTTAATAAGGAATGAAATTTTCTATTTAATATATTTTAAAGCAACTTATAATAATGGTATAAACATTTAGGCAATAAAATACTATATAAGAAAAAGAAAAATCTCCCTTTAATATAATTCTGTAGTCCAATCTTTTTAGGCAACTACCATTGGGTATTTTGTTTTTTTCATTTTCTGAATAGACTTCAGTAGATGGCCTACACTTATGCAAGTAAATGCACATAAAGAGCTGTGAAAATTAGGAATCAGACCGGCCATCCCATTGTCTTGTTCAAAGAACAACTTTCATCACATCATTGCTTATATGTGACTAATAAATACTTATCAATCTAAAAAGAGAGAGCACTCTACACTTGATATAAATAGGAAAAAGTTCCTTCCTATTATTTTATTCTGAGGGCTAAAAAATTATGTTCTCCTGGGTGTGATAGAGCACGCCTTTAATCCCAGCACTCAGGAGACAGAGGCAGGTGGATCTCTGTAAGCTCGAGATCAGCCTGGTCTACATAGTGAGTTCCAGGTTAGCTAAGGATATAGGGAGACCCTGTCTCAAAGAGACCAAAATAAACAAACAACAACAAAAAAGAAATTATGTTCAGTTTTCAGACGTGTTTCATGGAACTAAAACAACTGGTGAAATGGAGCAAGTCATTAGAAACAGGAAAATGCAAGTGATTTTAAGAAGCAATGACCTTCCACAGGAACAAGTGTAAGATTTAAACTTACATTTTATCTAGGTATTTGTTCACATCTTCATCTTTTTCATAATCCTTACATAGTTGGGCAACCAGAGCTCCATAGGTGAGTACGAAAAGATCTTTGTTCTGTAGGAAAAACATGGATGGTTTTATGTTACAGGAGTTATGACAATATATTATCATATTTATTTTTTTAAATCTATGGGTTGGAATCAACCTCAGAGATGGTTCATTTTTTTCCCACTCTCCTATTACTGCAGTAATGTCACTCTTAAGACATCCTACTTACATTTGGATATGTTGCTAGGGCTAGGAGAAGAGCTTCATGATAAATTTTCCAATTTTAGAACATCTTTCTGTGCATTTGTGTACAAATATATTATATACCCTGATATGTATTTTCATGGAGGAAGATACTTTAAAATAGCTGATTTCAAGGGCTGAGTGTGAGGGCACATGCCTTTAATCTCAGCACTCGGGAGGTAGAGTTGGGCAGGTCTCTGTGAGACAGAGGCCATCCTGGTCTACACAGCAAATTCTGGGTTAACTGGGACTACAGGGAAATTGTTTCAAAAGGAAAAAAAAAGCTCATTTCTAATGCAAATTCTCTTAGGCTAGAGAGATGGCTTGGTGGTTAAGAGCACTAACTGCTCTTGCAGAGGACCCAGGTTTGGTTCCCAGCACCCACATGTTAGCTAACAGCCATCTGTAACTCCAGTTCCATAGGATCTGATGTCCCCTTCTGGCCTCTGTGGGCACTGTATGCACATGGTGCACTTACATACAGGCAAAACATACACATAATTTTTTTTTTAATCAAATGTAACCTCTCATCGTTCTGGGTTGGCTTGTGATTGACACTGACTGTTTTCAGTTGGAAGGAATAGCTGTGTGAGACTTCTCATAAGTATGCACTACTTTTTACAAGATCTGCCTTCAGGATGATCTCAACTACAGCATTTGTGGGAATTAGTTTTTTTTTTTTTTTTAAAGAAAAATTAAAGGAGAATTTTAGAGGAACTAGATAAAAACATTAGTTACTTCTGTGTAGATCTCCAAGATGCATTCCATTTTTAGAGTGAACTACAAGCAAGAATTAAAACAGGACAATTTAAGCTTCATTTAGTAAAGAGAGGTTGAAAATAAAGGAAACAGAAAACATAAAGTTTGCTCAACCCATTTAAAAAAGTCTACGTTTTGCTCTTGCCAGTCAAGTGTTGCCCAAGAAAGGGAAGCAGACCAGGAGGGAATGTATTCCATACTGCTCATCCTGCAGGGAGAATGAGTCTTCAGAGGACAGCACAAACACTTGGCCCCTTTACTTGCCAGAGCCAGAAATACCTCATCAACCATAGGCATCCTCAGAGCCAGACCTCACCGCTCTAGACCTCCTCAGCTCCAGACCTCACCACTCTAGACCTCCTCAGCTCCAGACCTCACCACTCTAGACCTCCTCAGCTCCAGACAGCACTTATCACAGAGGTTCATGTTTGGAGGAAAGGAGCTGTTTGGAGTAGAAGTGAATAGAAGAGGGAGGTAGCAAGTGGAACTACTACCAAAAATAATCTCATTTTGCACGTAATACTAGATTCCTGTGAGAAGTCAATTGTGAATTACAGATTAGAAGAGGGATCTTTACCTCTATAATCAGGTGTCTTAGGTAGCTTCATGTGTAGGGGAAGAAAAGACTTGATAAAATGCTGGATTTATTTTTAAAGTATGGTCAGGAATGGCTTTTAAAAACAACAAAATTAAAGCTGGGCATGGTAGACACGCCTTTAGTCACAGCACTCTGGAGGCAGAGGCAGGAGGATCTCTGTGAGTTCAAGGCCAGCCTGGTCTACATAGTGGGTTCCAGGCCAGCTGGGGCTACAGGGAGACCATCTCAAAACAAACAAACAAACAAACAAACAAACAACCCAAAAACCCAAATAACAAATAAAAAATACAAATAGTTTATTCAACAAAATAACTTCTATAAAATGATAAATTTTGATGCAAATAACTCCAAAGTTGGCTAAATGCCTCAGTGTCACCTTGGGGGACATCTAAATGAGGTATATGATTTTATATCATGAAAAATATATCTCTTTAGTAAGGTAGAATATTTATTATCACTAAATAAATTTTTAAAGGAATAGAATCTAAATGTTAGCCTGGTATATATGGCCATAATTTTTGTAAAAAAACAGAAATCAAAATGTCATAAATGTATATTGAATAGGTGTTATGTTATATATTAATTGGTATTCTAGTAATATAGGTAATTCAGGTAGAAGAAAATAACATATTAATGTTTTTGCTAGGAAATAAGGAATGTAAGGAAGAATAATGTGAACAAGAATAATGTTAAACCTGACAGTGTCACATGTATTCACTTTTATTTCTGTTATTAAGAACCTCATGAATCACAACAAATGTTTACAAATTATAAATGAAATTTCAACCTAACATATAAGAACACATAGCATAAATCAAAGAATCAATAAGCACCAATGATATAGCACAGAAATAAATGCAAGAGAGAGAGAGAGAGAGAGAGAGAGAGAATGTGTTTGCCACTACCAATATAAGAATTTGAAAAAGAAAGAGAAGAAATTGTGCCCTATTTACCACAGCCTGAGCATTGTGCCCATTTTGAATTAAAGCCAAGGTTAAATAATGGAATTCCCTCTTTTTTTCTCACAGATTCTGCTAGTATATACTGAAACATGCTTACTTCTGCCTGAGTTTCAAGTTCAATTTTTATAAAAGTCCATTTCTTCATTCTGCCTCATGACCAAATGTTGCACTTTGAATGACATATCCATGTGGATCTCAAATCTATACTACAGATCCCAAGTAATATCAACAGGACCTTAGCTACATGATTTTTAATACAATAAAACCAATCATTTTCACATATGAAAAAAAAATAATTCTAGTATTTATTCCCAGTGGTTTTGGGTACATCAGTATAAAAAGGATTTAACTGATATACAAAGTGTGTGTGTGTGTGTGTGTGTGTGTGTGTGTGTGTGTGTGTTGTATAGATAGTGATTTAGGTACAATAAGAATTATATATTACATATTTTTGACATTTCAGTACTCGACGGTAAAACAGCTCAAGGTCCCAGAGTGCCAGACCAGATACTTGCAGACATATCCAACTGTGGTGTGCCAGTTAATTGCCATAACTTGAGAACACAATGCTGAAATTATTTAATTACAGCCAATGTCTATCAGTCCCCTGAAATAATTAATACAGCTTTAAACTTAACCATGCATTTTTCCATTTGTAATATCTGAATTACTTAAACTACAATGAGAGGATTAAAAAACAGTATTTATCCAAATCAAATATGCCCAAAAAGTTTTAAAAGTAATGAAATTCGGAAAAATAGAGCAGTAGCACGATGAAATATTAACACAGCTACCACTAGGACATATGTTTTCAATGGTAATCTTTTGATTCCTAGTTTTTGGATGATCTTATTCCTTTTTAATTTTATATACACAATTGACTATACATTTCATCTACTGTTTATTGCAACATGAAATACAAAGAATTGCTTAATGTTTTCATAGAGACAAAAGGAAAATTTGATACCTATATTCCTGTAATCAATCAGAAAGGAAGACCCTAAATTCTGTATAAAAAGCAATTATTCTGTTATACTATAATAATTGTAATAGTAGTTACATTATCATTGTAACAATTCGCAGTAGCATCGTTCATGAGCCACTCCTCTGAAGTCGCTTCATTTCACTGAAACATTCCACTTGTAGCATCATTTTTCAAAATAAATAAATAAGCCACTCAAGTAAACATTTTCTATGAAGCAGAAGAAAGCCTCTTTAGGAAAAGGTCTTACAATTTTATGATACTCTGGTCTTCTGTGTGCAGGCCGAGACATCATCCCTAGTTGAAGAACGTGATCTTTACCTTCTTTTCTTCTGTCTATGCCTTAGAGGCTCATCAGTCCCTTTGCCTTTTGCTTTTGCAAGCTCCCCCTTGCTTTGAGACAGGAGTGATGCTTTTCCCTCTACTGCCTTTGCTCTTTGCTGAACTGAAGGAAAGAAAACAAAAAATCAGGAGCAAAGCTATCTTGTTCCTACTGAACCTGCCACTGATCAAGTAACTGCTTTCCTTGTGATCCTAGCCCATAAAAGCTCACAGTGTGAAGCACCAAGACACTAAAAATTCTCTAGCCCCAGGGAATTCAAGAGTGGTGTTTTGTTTTCATGCCAAGGCAGTGTTTTGAAATCACAAACAGAAGCATTCACAATCCAAGATAGATCTAAATGTTAGCATTATTCAGTCTTGTATTGATTGTCCTATGAATTAGAGAGACAGGATCAGCAATCTGTAGGCACTAAATCCTGGGTTTAAGCCTGATCAACAACTCAAATAAGTTTCACATTGTTCTCACAACACTGCCCCCCCCATTTTGTGTGATTATAACATTTAAATATATCTAGCATCCTTTAAAAAAACCCTTTTCATAAGCAGCAACCAGCATTTGTAAGGGGTGTTAGAACAAATGATATTTTCTTACAGAACTGTTGATCATAATGGGTGTGCTTACAGTTTAATAATGTATAATGATTCTGGCAGGAGAAAGGAAACTCTTAGCTTTCTTTTGATAGCTCCTGAGCTATTGAAGGCTCTCTTTATTTATACAGAAGTATAGATATTTAAAGTTCAAGGAAGAAGTCTCATCTTGAAAACCACAGGGTGTGGAAGTTCAAAGCCAGTCTAGAATAGAAGCAGAGCTCAGTCTCAAGTAGTCTTCTTGCAGCCTAGACTACAAGCCCTATTGGCTGGCATGTTCTTCCTAAAGTGAAATCTGGGGTGCACTTTGAAGAGTGTGGCACAGTTGAAAGAGCCTAGGAGGGTTGGGAAGGCTCAGATTAAGTTATAGTTCTGCTGATTACTGGCTGTGTGGCCTTGGGCAAGCCATTTTATTGCTCTATGGCTCAGTTTCCACATCTCCAAAATGGAAACAGTAATACCCACATCACAAAATAATTGTGAGTATCAAAGACATTATACACTCTACAAAATACATTATGATGCACTGTATAAAAACTAATTACCACACGCTGTCCTTACAAGTGAATGTATTGAAGGGATTCTGTACTACTTGATGCATTTCTGGAAGTGGCTAGGTTCTATGACACCACGGTCTCAGGAAAATCAGTTCTGCTGGGTTGTGGGGTATGAAGGACTTCTTAGGGGAAGACTAATAAGTTATATTTATATAGACTTCAGCTTCCAATCTGGTTTTCACTGTATCTCATTTTAGTTCAGCTATACTCAGTGAAATAGTCAGTATGGTAATCTTTGCTATTTTATAAAATAGGAATGTAAAAACAGAAAAGCTAAGAAATTTCAATGCTATCTGAACAGAAGGGAACAAACACAGCTACATTCACAGATTCCACGCCCCCTTTCTGTTGGACACATTCTAATATGTTTGATCAAAACATTTATAGATAGACACAAAGTAACTATGAATGCACAGTTGACAGCATTTTGCCCATTGGGGGCAATTTGGGGTTCAAGGTAAGAGATCCTTGGGAATAAGAGGAAAAAGTATGTGTGCTTGGAGAAGTGGAAGGGGTACCAGAGTGGATAACACTCTCTGATAATGCCTGTGATATGGTCACCTCGAGGCCCCTGCAACACTGCAAAGTGCCATGGGTGCCTTAGAAAAGGTGAGCTCTTCCTCCAGACTGGCTCTTTGCTAACCAACAAGCCTCGCCCTGGGACTCAGGGCTGGAGGAAGTAGCAGAGTCCTTGATAGGTACAAGGCATCCAGCCTGGGTAAACAAAGCTGTGGTCACTGTCACTTGGACACTGGCTTGCTGGTTTTCAGACTGAAACTCAGTGGCCTTCAACCCTTTTTAGGAGCTGAGTGAACCCTGTGTTTCCCAGGGTTTCCCAGGGTTTTTTATGCAAAACCATCCCTCACTTAAAAAGAAGAAAGTACAGATTTGTGCTTCAGAAGGCAAATGGTCTAAAATGTTTGCTCTGGCATTAAAGTAGGAAGGAGAATCATTTCCAAAAATGCACTGATGGTTTTGCACTTTTACTAAGAGCCTTCCGGCTGGCTAGGATTGAATTGGGAGCCGGGGTTAGGAGAAAAAAGCATTCTTCAATGTCATCAAATTTACCCAGCTGTTAGCCACTCCAAATAAATGGTGGCCTGGACCACTCTCTTACACATATCCTTTGGGAGGTAGCTAGGCGACTGAGTAGAGACTTGGGAAGAGTTTGAGGGAAAACAGCCACTTCCAGCTGCTGTTGCATCTGTCTAAAGGCTTGTTTTCTTTTTATAAATCTTTTTATTTGGGGCTGGGGAGGTAATTCGGTGTGTAATAGAGCTTGCTGTGGAAGCAGGAGGACCTGGGTTCAAATTCCTAGCACTCACATGCCTGTAACCCCAGCACTGGCAGGCAGAGACAGGCAGATCTTACTAGCTTGCTGGTCAGCTGGCTTAGTTGAAAAGGCAACCTTCAGGTTCAAGGAAAAACCCTGTCTCAAAAACAAGTGGAAAAGTAATAGAGGAAGACACTTGATGTCCTTGTCTGGCCTCCACATACGTATATATAGGTGAGCACGTGTGTGTGCGCATACACACACATAGACACACACATCTTTTGTTTGTTTTAATCTGATTTCCTTATATAAAATTAATGTGTTAATCACTCTGTAACCTCATCCCTAGTGCTCAGGTCTGATTTTCCTGACCATATGTTAGCTTGTGCTCAGTGAGAAAGCTTGTGCTGTGTCCCTCTGAATAGACATTTGATGACTATTTATGGGACAGATAGCACAGCCTAGCTTTAACTGGGAGACAGTTTGGCTGGAAAACCTGCTGTGGTCTGAATCTTCCCATATGTGTGCACAGAAACTCAGTCACCACTGTACTAGTGATAAGAGGTAAGGTCCTTTGCGAAGTGATTACGTCACAATCATAGAACTCATAAAAGGGCCGAGGGAACTAGCTTAGGACTCTTCCTTTGCTGTTTTACCATGTGATGATCAGCCACAGGATGCCATTTTGGAGGAATGAAATGGGCTTTACCACATTGATGTTGGGATATTAATCCTGGACTTCCAAGCTCCAGAATTATAACAAATTAATTCTGCTCTTTATAAATTACCTAATTTCAGTTATTTTGCTATAGCACCATAAAGAGAGTAAGACAAAGCCCAAAAGAAAATTCATAATTCATACAAATAACAAGCCCCAGTCATTGACAAGTCATACATTATCCTGTAGATAGAATGATTCATTTTTATCAATCTTTTATCAATGAAAAGTGAAATTATGAAATTTATGGGAAAATGGATGGAAATGAACTCAGGCCCAGAAAGACAAACACTGAATGTTCTTTTCATATGTGGATCTTAGCTTCTGATTTCTATACAGGTGTATTTATGAGAGAGTGAGTACTGAGGCTTCAAAGACAGGTAGGGAGGCTAACAGAACACACGTGACATTAAAGTGAAAGGGGAACATTGACAGGGAAAAGTTCAAATGGGATAGAGGGAGAAAGATGGGGGAAGGGAGGGTCAACCAAAACTAAGCATGTATGAAAATGCCATAAAGAAACCTGCAACTGACTGTGGTGGCCCAGGCCTTTAATCCCAGCAATCGGGAGGCAGAAGCAGGTGGATCTCTGTGAGTTCCAGGCCAGCCAGGGCTACAAAGTGAGGTCCTGTCTCCAAAAAAAAGCCCTGCAAAAAATACTTCTGTTAGGTGGGCATGGTGGCGCACGCCTTTAATCCCAGCACTCGGTCAGCCTGGTCTACATAGTGAGTTCCAGGACAGCTGGGGCTACAGGGAGACCCTGTCTCAAAAAGACCAAAAACCCCCGCAAAACAAAAAAAACTTTTGTCAACAGCTCTTTAAGCTGCCCCTTCAACAGTGGTTATCTAATCAGTCAGTGCTCTCTCCTTTTTTACATAGTTCCCAGGAGGAATGATCTATAATTTCCTTGCCCACTTCCTCTTTTACAGGTACTGTAACGAATGGATTTTAAAATATGAAATATTACATACAAGGAAGGATGTAGCACTCACTACCAAGCTTTTCTGTATGTGCTTCAGGCTTTGTTTTAAGCAATAATGTAGGGCCGAACCGACTGAAATAGCCGGAACCCTCTTAACCTTATTTTTCTTTCCTGCTTAGTTGTGACCACTCCGTAGACCCTGATACTTATCATTCATAGGCATGTTTCAGAGCTCCATGAATGTTACTATCAATAAAATACGTGATAGTACTGACAACTTTATATTACAATGGTGTCCTACTGTGTGCACCCCACAACCTGAGTTTTGTTTTTTTTTCCCTCAAAGTTATTTGGTAAGGGTTATCCTGCCACTGAGATAATTTATTTGCACTGATTTATGTCATGGGTCAGTAAATGTGATTGTAAAGGACCAGATAGCATATAATTCATGTTTTTCAGCAATAAGGATTCTGTCATAACAATTCCATCTTGGTACAGTACAAAGCAGTTATCTTAAGTAGCAGACATGGCTTATGTCCAAATAAATCTTTATTTTATTTATTTTATATTTGTAAACACAGAAATTTGAATTTCATTTAGTTTTCATGTCACATTATTTTAATTTTTTTAAGTTTAAGTTTTAAATTTCCTACATGAATATTGCATTTATATCACTCCCACCCCACCCTCTCCTACCTCAAACTCCTCCCACATCCCCCACCACTTCCTCTCAACTTATGATCTCTTCCTTTATTAATACTGTTACACACACACACACACACACACACACACATAATGTACTGATCACTTTCAGAGGTGCTCTTGTGTGCATGTGTTATTGCTGACCACTTGGAATTGGATAACCCATCAGGGAGCTTAACCCTGGAAAAAA